TTGAGTTCATAGATTTTAAGATTTTTATTTATTTGACAGCACAAGCAGTAGAGCTACAGACAGAGGAAGAGGGAGAAGCAGGTTCCCCATTGAGCAGAGAACCAGAGGTGGGGCTTGATCCCAGGACTTTGGGATCATGACCGGAGCCGAAGGCAGATGCTTAACCAACTGAGCCACCCAAGCACCCAAGTTGATAGATTTTATTGTGCAATTTATTATGGATTTATCATAATTTATCCCCAAACTCATACCAGTTGTATAAATACTCCTAAAGACATTAACACTTTCATGTTCTTGAATAAATTTCCCCCAAAGGTTGGTTGATTTCTAGGCTTGCCATGTAGCATATGTCCTGGGAATCTCTCTTCACCATGATTCTGGGGATCCCCTTTGCATCTTTCTGGAATGGCAGCCCCTGTTCCTGTTAATCATTCACACTCTTTCTTGGTTTATTGCTCTGGCTTGATGGAACACATTTTTCCATTACTTATATGAGAAAGGGTACACTGGAGAAAAACTTCTGAGACCTTGTTTCTCTGAAAACTGTCTTTTTTTGGTTAAATGAGTTGATGCTTGGAAAATTGGCATATAATAAGTTAAGGTATATGTCTAGTAAATCATTTTACCTTCACCCTTGCCTGATAATTTGAAAAGGCATTGTATTTTAGGTTGTAAAATTTTTTTGCCTCAGAATTTTGGGGGAATTGCTCTATTGTCTTTTAGGTTCTGTTATGGAATTTGAGAAATCCAATGCCTTTCTGATTTTTTATCCTTTGTTTTGAAATCCCGTTTTAAGTTTCATGATGACAGGGGTACAGTTTTCCTTTATTCTGCTGGGCACTCGGTGGACCTTTCCAATCTAGATATTTGTAGCTTTCAAGTGTCCTTGGATTGTCTTCACTGCCTTGTCCCCTACTCCTACTCCTTTGGTCCTCTCTTTCTGGCTTTCCTGTTGTTTTGGTGCTGGACACCTTAGTTGTCCAGTTTCCTTATTTTCTTTCCTATTTCCATGTATTTATCATTTTCGTCTGATGTCTGAGGATTTCTGCTACTTTGTCTTCCACCTGTTTGCTGAGCTTTTCATTTCTGCTGTCCTTTTTGTACTCCAAGATCACTTCTTCTATGTTTTTTCATAGTGTATTGTTTTTGTTTCATGAATGCAATAGTGTTTTTTCTCTGAAGACATTAATGATGGTTTATTTGAAGTGTTCTTCTCTTAATGGAGTAATTGTACTTCCTCATTGCTTCTGTTTATTGATTTGCTTTGGCTTCTGTCATTTATAATAGAAGCTTCCCCCACATGTTTGAACCTGGCTCTTTCTTCCTACTTAAGAGCTGGATAAAAAGACACTATTTGGAAGTTCTCTGCAAATGGGGATGTGGTGGTTGACAGTGGAATTCAATATAAAATGATCTGGGCCATTCTTTTGGTAAAAACTTGATTGTCAGTATCTTTATTTTATTTTTAGTTGGTTTCCTTAGAAAATACTCCTCAGAGCTCCTGCCCAGGGAAGCTAAGCATAGATTTCAGCATTCTGTTTGCTCTGTAAATTTTCACTTATTTCCCCTGATTTCAGTATTGAACTTGCACTTGGTTGTGAATGGTGTTCCTCGGTATAGAGCATAAGTGTCCCATGTTCTCCTAAATTGGTGGAGGGGCAGTCATGTAACAGAATGATAGAGAAGACAATCTGGGTATCTGCCTACTTCTTAAGGAGACCTTCAGCCCACCTTTACCTGCTGCTGTTGCCAATTCCTGAGCCTTTTGGGTTCTGTGATGCAAAATAAATTGTTTCTTGGCTTTTCTTACTGAGTGGGATTCAACTTTTTCAAATCTGAAAAGTCAGTCATCACTCCTTCATCTGCTTTCCAGCTTCCTAAATTTTGCTTTCCTAGCATTCTTATTGCTCTTATAGGTATACAATTTTTAAAAACTCAAAAATGTAGGGCGCCTGGGTGGCTCAGTTGGTTAAGCGACTGCCTTCGGCTCAGGTCATGATCCTGGTAGTCCCTGGATCGAGTCCCGCATCAGGCTCCCTGCTCAGCGGGGAGTCTGCTTCTCCCTCTGCCCTCTTCCCTCTCGTGCTCTCTATCTCTCATTCTCTTTCAAATAAATAAATAAAAAAAATCTTTAAAAAAAAAAAACTCAAAAATGTAAATAGAACTTCATTGGATTTCAGGAAAGGCTGATGTAAGTACATGCATTTAACCAGTAATCTTGGAAATTTGTCTGTGGGTACTTTCAGTTTTGTATAATTATCAGTTTATCTGTTAGATGCCTGAAAGTCTGTCATAGTGATTGAGTTTTTGTGTGAGACTCTTTCTTCCCTTCTCAGGGATGGGAGAGGGAGCGGGATGGGGAGGGGACACGTGGAGACAAAACACGGAAGAAAAGCAGCATGATATAAGGGAAAGAACACATGCTTAGGTGGAAGAGACTTGGGTTTGAATCTTCTGCTGAATTAACAGGAATTTTTAATCCTCCTGGCATACGACTTTCCTTATGTATAATGCAATGAGAATAACCCTTACCTCATTGTTGCATTTTTCAGGTTGAGATAATATATTACTTAATTAATACACAGTCGGATATGGTGCCCAATAGAGGCCATTTTCCATCTTGAATTAAGGGAGGGCATTTCCAGTCTGGGGATGGAGAAAATCCATTTCAGAACATTTTTAGATTTGTATAATTACACCTGCTTTGTAATACTGACCATAGATAAACCAGTTGTCTAAACTAGCTGGCTTCAGAAAGCCTCCTCTAATTTCTAGATTCTGTAGTGATTATGGTAACCTTATTGAAAAAATGGTTTTAACAAGTGTAGAATGTGCTTTATATGAACTATGATTTAGGGCTAATTGAAAGTGGGACTTTTTGAGAAAACCTGCAGTGTTTGGTTGTCTGAGCTGCTGTCAACAGTTATGTAGTCTGTGTTTGTTTTGAACTAAAAATTGAGGTAGATGTAAGAGGACTTCATTGATTTATGTGTCCAGTCATTGTTAGCCCAAAGAGATTTTTTTGCTGTACCCTGGTTAAAACGAAAGCCTCTGAAATGCACAGCAGTTGAAGAAGAGTATAATAATCACACTTGTGAATAGTTCTTGGAAGACTGAAATCCTCCTAGGTAGGAAAAATGAATTTAGAGTGGCATAATCAAGGCCCTAGGTAACAGAAAAGTATTTAATGGAGTTGTTCATGTGGCTGTAATGTTTAGTTAGAAGGGAAGATAAAAGATAAGTTGTTTCCAACCTACCTGTAATCTCGAGTCTTTACCTGTCTTCTTTCTAAGAAAGTCTAATGTCACATAAGCGTCAATTTCATGACTAGACTGTAAACTTCACTGTTTCAGACAAAAACAAAAACCTCATGAATAATGTGAACTCCCCACCCCCACCTCAATACCCTTTGTGCTGGGAGTGGATTTTTACCCTTACTAATGAGAACTATATCCAAAAAACTCTTAGTGCAAATGTAATTGTGCACTCTCTTCCTCAAACAAGGGCCTCTGCAGTGGATTTGGTATTGTATCATGTGGATTCTCTTTTGGAAAACAAGGAGGGCATTTTTGGTTTCCTTTACATCTGGCTGTCCACAGTTCTGTGAACTGTGCCTCTATTAGCTCTTCTATGGTTTTTAGATAGTGATAGAGTGACAGGAGGGAAATTGCATTAATGGTGCAATAGAGAAAGTGGAACAAATTAAGTCTCCGTGCATTGATCTTTTTAGAAAAATTATTGATAAAACTGTTCATAATCACTTGATTCTGTAGGACAACATGAAGCAGATTTCAAGAGTTTTCTTAGAGTGTGTGTGTTAAAATTTCTGCTGTCAGTGAGGCAGAGCTTTGGTATAAAGTGCTCTTGGGTGTTGAAAATTTACTGTCTCTCTTTTAAGTGTGTGTTTTCCTTTTTAAAGTGGTATCCTTAAATACCTTTTTTTTTTTTTTTAATTTCAAAAACCTTAAATGTTTCTCTGCTGCCTTCAGGGTATCATAAATTTCCTTAGTTTGCCATGCAAGGTTTTTGACTCTCTGACCCCAATTTAATTTACCCCCTTGTCTGCCACTGTTTTTCCTACCTAAACCCGCCCTTTCAGCCAAATGGGAATGCATAGTGTACCCGACAGGCCTTTCAATTTTGCCTCCATCTCAGAAATTCTTTCCTTTCCTCCATAATTATCTACTGCTAGCCCTTCTTTAAGATTTGGCTAAAGCCCTTTCCCTCACCACCTCAGCCTAGGCACATGGTCAGTCCATCTTCTGCACTTCCGTGTCCTCGTTATGTCACTCAGGAACCATTTAACATCAACTTCCAGTTCACATTTTACCTACTACATTTTGTTTAACTCTGCCTAGAACATAAGCTCCTTAAAGGCAGGAGGTTTTATATTTGTTTCATAGCATTTCTCCTGGCATTGAAAGATCCACTTGTGTGTCCGTTGCTTGTTTATCTGTCTGTCATGTATTTTCTGTTGTCTACCTCACTAGAATGTAAGTCCCAAAAGGGATCATGAATATTGCAAAAGCTACAAAGCTCATATACGGCAGGCAGTTTGGCCCTGGAGCCTGTGCTCTCTATCCCTGACCACTAATCAGTGCAGCCTCATGGTGGTTGTGACTCCATCATTGCCACCTCTAATTTTATTTACTCTGTCAACAGGATATTGACGCTACTGACCACTCATTCCTTGCGTGTTTCACTTCTCTTGGCTTCTGTGACACCCCTTTATTTCTCTTCTCCTCCTCCCTCCCAGATCACTTCTCCTCTAGTCCTCTGTAGGTGTTCACATATTGATGGTCTTTATTTGTCCGCATCCTTTCTCTGTGCTTTCGCTACAATCATCTTTCGAGCCTAGTACTTCTTGACCTCAGTGGTATGACACATTACAGTGTCAGAAACAATCAGGACATATGTCAAAACCACTCACTTATTCATAAAGCATTAAGTTACAAGCACTTGAGCGAGAAGCTGAAGCCGCTAGAGCGTCCGGGGCGGGCGGGAGGGAGCCAGGAGTTCTTCGCTAGGTGTGCGTGCGGCTCTCTGTGGCTCGGGAGGTTGTTCTGTGTCTGTCTTGGCCGTTCTCATCTCACCGGTGCAGAGGACTTCAGGGTTTTCGGCCACTTTCCAGTCCCTTTACGTTGCTGGTTCGGAGTGCCACCTTTGAGAAAGGGCGCCCATCCATCCCGGCGGGGAAGACCAAAGACTAGTTTGTAGGAAAACCAAATAGAAGCCATGTTTCGAAGACCTGTATTACAGGTGTTTCACCAGTTTGTAAGACGTGAGTCTGAAATAGCTAGCAGCTTGGTTCTTGAAAGATCTCTGAACCGTGTGCAGCTGCTTGGGCGAGTGGGTCAGGACCCCGTCATGAGACAGGTGGAAGGGAAAAACCCAGTCACGATATTTTCTCTAGCGACAAATGAGATGTGGCGGTCTGGGGAGAGTGAAGCCTACCAGATGGGTGATGTCAGTCAAAAGACAACATGGCACAGAATATCAGTATTCCGCCCAGGCCTCAGAGATGTGGCGTATCAGTATGTGAAAAAGGGGTCCCGAATTTATGTAGAAGGGAAAGTAGACTATGGTGAATACACAGATAAGAATAACGTGAGGCGGCAAGCAACAACGATCATAGCTGATAACATTATATTTCTGAGTGACCAGACCAAAGAGAAGGCGTAGCATGGACGATTCTCCTTTGGCCATTGTTTGGTACAGTCTCATTTCCAAATCATGTATAGTCTTTATAGTTCCTAAGGACGAGAATTAAAATATTCTTTTATATAAAAGGGAAAAAAAAAGTTACAAGCACTTGCAAATGATTTACTTTTTTAAATTGACTCACCTCAGAGTTACTATTATAAGGATGTCACACTAACTCATTTGCATTTCAATAGTGCATGCTTGTTTCTGTGGGGAAAGGAGGAATTTGAGCTAGCTGGAAGTGAGTTGCTTATAATTCATAGCCTATTTTATATTTGCTGAAAATATCTGTGAACTATGGTTATTGACATGTCATTGATAGTTAAAGCAATTTTGAGATATCATTTGTAAACTGGGGATTTATAGTTTGTTGTTTATAGTTTGTTTCCTTGATTTTACCCATGGATACATTTTTAATGATGGAGGGAGGTGAAGAAAGCATGCATGTGCATCTATCTCTGCATAGCATAGAAATGAGAATACAGTCTAGTTACAAATTCCAAATCAAAGGCAATGTGATCAGCCAAATGACATGTGCAATATTATTTATATTAACATCATGAATAAATATAAATATGTGCTACACTTTTTAATTATAAAATGAGTTACTTTTCTTTATTAGTATATGCTTTTATAACTCATAGAGATCTGGATTTCATTTTTAAAATATAATTTTACATAGTTTTTATGTTAGATTAGTCATCTATAATTTTTCCCCCAAAAATGATGTTTTGAGATTATCAAATAGATAATTTTAGTGACCATTTACTTTTACAGTGCTTTTAAACATACCTATAAAAACAGCATTGGGAATGCTTTGCTTTATTTGGTCAACGACTTCTGTTCATATGTGTGTATGTTTGGTTTCCATTACGATCTGAGTATACTCCTGGGAGTGTGTCTCCTATGAACGCCATTCATCATCTGTCCTAGCAGAAGAAAACTTGAAAACCTCTGCTCAAGGCTATATTATATACTCCTGTGTAGTTTACTCTCTCCCATATGTTGGTGACTCCTGAATTTCTGTCATCACCCACAATCTTTTCTCTGGAGCTGCAGACTCGTTTATTAAGCCACCCACTGGGCATCTTTATGTGGATGTCCTACAGGCTCCCCAAACATGTCATAACTGAAACTGAGCTCATTTTCTATCTTAGTCCCCTGACCCCACTGTTCTTTTTCCAGTGATGTACATTTTTATCAATGATATCATTCACCCAGTCTGTTAAAGACATTAAGGATACTATTCAGTGTCTCCTAGGTCATGAGTCTAGTCGTTTTTATCTCCAAAACATCTCTGAAACTATTTCTCTCCTTCCTCACTGCCTTTATCTTAGTACAACTGCTTTTCATTTCCTATTGGGACCATTTCATAGCCCAGCCCAGTGGTTCTCAGACTTTAGTATGTATCAGAATCATTAAAACATAGATTGTTGGGTTCCAACTGCAGAAATCTGATTCAGTGAGTCTAAGGATAGTCCAAAAAAAATTGCATTTCTAACCAGTTTGTAGTAATCCTGATGCTGCTGGTTTGGGGATCACTTTTTGAGAACAAGAGCGATAGCCTGTTAATTGGCCTTCCTGCCACCAGACTAGCCACCTTACTGTTGATCCTCCAAAGGATAATTTTTTATGCAAGTTAGAGTCTCTCTCCCTGACTTAAACCATTATACTGTCTCAGCATTATGCTCACATAGACTTTGTTCAACTGTTACCCCTTGACTATGTGGAACCATGGCACTCTTGTTATTCTTTTACCCGTACAACAACTATCTTTTTTTCCACTGGGATTAAGAACTTTTTCACGTGTCCGTGTATGTTTGTAGATCAGCCTGGCTATTAAAATCTCAACCACCATCCATTTTAAAATCCCATTCTCAGGGCTTCCTTCCTTCTTCATTCACACCTTTAAAAGGTTTATCTTCTTCCCCAGGTGAGGAAGATTTGTGTGTATCCTTATGTAACAGTGGCCCATTGGTGGAAACAGAATTGTGTAGCTGAGCCTGGGTCATTTCTCTTCCATTGTTCTCTCTCAGTATTATCATCTGCTCTAGCCTCTGGCTCTAGTGGTGGACAGCTGTTATCTATCTTATGTGATATATTAAGTGACAAACAGGTACCCACCTGGCTCCTACTTTACAGCTGTTTTATATCAGTTTTCAGGAGAAAGCAGTACTGCTTCCTTTTTTTTTTTTTTTTTTTTTTTTTTTTTAATACTTACAGTGGGCTGCGTCCAAGCACACCAAATGTTGACACCCCGCCTGGCTGGACTTTGTGAAGAGGTAAAGACAGGCCCTTGCTACTCAAAATGTGGTAAGGAGCCAGTAGGATCTGTATCACTAGGGAGATCTTTGAAAATGCAGAATCTGCACTCTGCCCTCAACAGAACTGCTGAATCAGAATCTCTCTTGCGATGAGACCCTGTGGTGATCAAGTTTGAGAAGCACTGGTTTGGGCCTTTAGGACCCCTGGATAGGCTCACCTTGCCTGTTGCCATTCTCTATTAATTCATAAGGATATCAGTTTGTTGGATCTGTGATAGCCAGTTTCTTCATCTGTAAAATGGGGATTGTAATGCCTACCTTGGTAGATTATGATGATGCATGTAAAATATCCAGCACAGCACCTTAGATGTGGTGAGTGTCCTATAGTGGTAGCCATTATTAAGTCTGTATCTTCATCTTCTTGGATTTTAACAGCCCTTTGGAAGTCTTCATACATAAGTCCCCTACCTCCCCTACCAATGACTGACCTGCACCAAGGGTATTGGTACCTGAAAGTTAAATGAGAATGGGATTATGGCTGGTTGATAATTAAAGATATACCTGATTTTCAGTCAAGTGGCACAGCTGGGATGGCCTTGAGAAGCATAGATGTTGCCGGCTTTGCAGGTTGAGTGGTTGATTTCTAGAAATACCTAGATATTAATACTTGTAACTCTGAGCTAGGAAAATGCATTAAAAGACACTGATCATCAAAGAAGAGAGATGCAAATCAAAAACAGTGAGATACTACCACAACACATTAGAATGGCTAAAATTAGAAATACATATCAAATGTTGGTGAGGATGTGAAGAAGCTGTAATTCTCTTACATTGCTGGCGAAGATGTAAGATAGTGCAATCATTTTACAACAGAGTTTGGCAGTTTCTCAAAAAGTTAACAATAAAAAGGAGCAAACTCCAGTAGGCAGAAAATGAGTAAAGACAAAGTTAAAATAAATAACATCATCATGACCAGGGTATAATTGACATCTACAGACTGTTTCACCCAACAAGAGTAGAATACACATTTTTCTCAAACTCAGAAGGGAGATTTACTGAGACCACATTCTGGGTCATAAAATACACCTTAACAAATTCAAAAGAATTGAATCAAATAATGTCTGCTCTGAAACCACAATGGAATTAAACTAGAAATCAGTAACAGAAAGATAGCAGGAAAATCCCAAAATAAATGTGAAGATTAAACAACACCTTTCTAAATAACATGTGGGTCAAAGAAGAAATTTCAAGAGGTTTAAAAATATTTTGAATGAAATGAAAATGAAAACACAGCTTATCAAAAAAAAAAAGCTTATTGAAACTTGTGGTATGTAGTGAAAGCTGTGCTTGGAGGGAAACGTATAGTAATGAATGCATATAGTAGAAAAGAATAAAGATGTATAATCAATAATATAAGGTTCTACCTTAGGAAACTAGAAAAAGATGACCAAGACTAAAGTAAGCATAAAAAAAGAAATATTAAGAATTTGAGTAGCAATCGGTGAAATTGAAAATAGAAAATCAGTAGAGGAAATCAATAAAATCCAAAGCAGACTCTTTAGAAAGATCATTAAAATTGATAAGCCTTTAGAGAGGCTAACAAAAAAGAGAAAGGACCTAAATTGCTAGTATCACAAATGAAAGAAGGGACATTACTACAAATCCTATGGACATTAAAAAGGATAATAAAGGAATTTTATGAGGAACTTTGTGCCCACAAATTTGATAACCTAGATGAAATGGAAAAATTCTTTGAAATACAATATTTGCCACAACTCACATAAGAAGCAGCAGACTATCTGAATAAACCTACACATGTTTTAAAATTGAATCAATAATCTTCCAAAACAAATTATCAGGCCCAAATGGGTTCACATTTAAGAAAGAAATTACACCAATTTAAGAAAGAAATTATATCAATTCTGCACCATATATTCCAGAGGATTGAAGCAGAGAAAATATTTCTAACACATTCTATAAGATCAACATTACCTTGAGGGTGCGGAGCAAGATGGCGGAGGAGTAGGAAACCTGGATTTTGTCTGGTCTCAGGAATTCAGCTGAATAGGGATCAAACCATTCCGAACACCTATGAACTCAACAGGAGACCGAAGAAGAGAGTAGCAACAACTCTCTGAACAGAGAAGCGACCACTTACTGGAAGGTAGGACGTGCGGAGAAGTGAATCCGAGGCGATATTCGGGAGGATAGATGGCGGGGGAGGGGGCCTCCGTCGGCCGCTTCTGGCAAGTGATAGAGCCGCAGAGCACAAAATCGGAACTTTTAGAAGCCGGCTCCACTGAGGGACATCGCTCCAGTGGCCAAGCGGGGGGTGGAACCCTCACGGGACAGTGTGGCCTCAGGACACTCGGGGTCACAGAAAGACCAGGGGTGCCTGAGTGCAGCAGAGATCCCAGGTATCCAAGCAGGGAAGCCGACTGCAGAGATGGAGCCGAGGTGCAGGCTCTCAGCTCGGGTTGCCATAAACTGTGATCCCCGGCCCAGTCGGGCCACTGCTCCTCTAGCAGGGACCCAACAAGCGGCAGAGCTGGGGAGACTCCCCTTCCTCCCTGGGGAGGAGCAGCGCCGGAGCGCACCGCAAGGATCTGCTGGGTTTGGAGACCACACGGGGTCAAGTGCCAGAGATAGAAACGCTCGGTCACAGGCCAGGTGAGCACAGAGTGCAGCCGGAGACTGGGGAGACGGGAGTGACTGCTTTTCGCTGGGGGAGCACTGAGGAGCGGGGCCTGGAGTTCTCAGTTCCTCCGAGTGGACTTTGGGAGGCCACCATTTTCACCCTGGTCCTCCAAAGTGGTACCAGA